TCATAAACTTTCACCGTATAAGTCGGTAAGCAAATTCTGTTAATCTTAGAAAGCGGAAAAGACCAAATCTGTTTCTGATATGGATGATAAAGACTTATTAGCTCTTTCTTCTGAATTATCTATTATTACAAAAGAAATGCCATCAGTTTCTGACCTTGGAAAATCACAGCCGGATCACGTGATTTCGGATCACATTATTTCTGCTATTGGAGCTAAATATAAATCAGAAAGCATTAGACCATTTTTATCGAACATGTTTTGATGAATGACCTTAACGATTTTTTGGGGGATAGTGAGATCTTGTGGTGTCCTTAAGATTGCAAAAAAACTTTATCCGTTTGCCTCAGCTTTCCTTAAATCTGCTTCTGACTTTCGTAAAAATGGGAAAAATAGATTTTCAATTAATTTTCATAATTTTTTGGGTGCTAATAATTTTATTGATTTGGTTTGGGCTAATCGATTTAGAATCTTAGATAAAGAGATGTGTTTTGCTTATGCTCCTTCTTATAAAATATTTAAACAGATTGTTTTGAGAAAAATAGATGATCCTGATTTTATTAAACTTAATTTGGTTCCACATCCTGGCTTCTCGAATTCTTGGTTCCAACCTGTCAAAGTTGAGAGATTGAAAAAAAGGGTGCATAACTCTAATACAGGCTTAATTGAGTATTTAAATACGAGTTTTTATACTGCTACATTTAACTATACAGGTACCCCTGATAAGGCTATTCTTTTGGGGAAAAATATTAATTTATCGCCTTTTACGCCTCAAGTCAGAAGATGCACTAATTGCCAAATATTTGGACACTCTAAGAGATTCTGTAAGATTTCGCAGACTAATCTTACCTGCGAATTCTGTGGAAGTCATGATCACGCAGAGGGAGTCTGCCAGCAGGAAACTCCTTGTTGTATTAATTATAAGAGGGAGGGATTTTCAGACACGATCCATAGAGTTTCTGATGCCAATTGCCCTGTTTTTGTTTTTCATAAAAATGTCAGGAAAGCTATGTCTTCTTTGGCACTTAGCTTTAAAAACGCGGTTCAGCACATTAAGGCAAACGGCTTGTCTTTTGACTCTTCACATAAATATACTTTTCCTACCTTACAAGATTTTTTGCCTGCGGGTTCTAGCCCCAGTTTTGCCGATTTTGTGAGATCTTCGTCCAGAACTTTTAATAGATATAGGCCGGTATTCATAGTCAGATCTTATATTTAAAATCAACTTAAGTACTGTCTTAAGATGTCATAAACAAATCACAGAGCCGTATTCGCATCTTAAGACATTACTTAAGATGATCTTGAAATAAGATTCGACTATGAATACCGGCCATAGTCTCTCTAAGCCTGGGTTTGGTGCTGCGATCTCTTCTGCTCCTAATCTTGCTTCGATTTCTACAGGTGTTCCTGCATCTATTTCATCCCTTATAGAAATATCATACTAAGAATCATTGATAATTACTTATT